TCAATCTTAAAAATAGTCGATCCACTTACATACCCACTAGTTACTGAGAGCTCAGTTTGGTCTAGTGGTGAAGGCACCAGGCTAGAAAGCAGGAGACTGTGAGTTCTAGTCCCACCTTAGGCATGAAAACTGGCTGGGTGACTTTGGGCCAGTCACTCTCTCTCAGCCCAACTCACCTCCCAGGGTGGTTGTTATGGGGAAAATAGGAGGAGGAAAGAGTAATCAGGTATGTTCACCACCTGGAGTTATTTATAGAACTAATAAAGGCAGGATTAAAAAAAATACTTTCTTCAATCCTTTCTAGCCTATGATGGATAGAAGCAAGGGGGATGAATTACCTAAGCTTCAAGTTGGTTTCATTGATTTTGTATGTACCTTTGTATATAAGGTAAGATGAACTTCATATTATTCCATTTTATTATATATTTTGTTATATAGAAATAAGAAATATAAGAGTTAAATCTCCACTGAGAGGTGTGGTTGATGAAAAGACATTAATTAAATGATCAAACAACACGATTATGGGAAATGATTGTGAATGCCTGAAATGTTGAGTCTTCTGAAGTATTTCCTACAATTTGTATTGCATTTTCCAATCATGATGGTCAAACCACATGCATTACATTCAGTAAAACCATGATCTTCTATGCATACATAGAACAGAATCAGATATTTAGGAATACATTCTCAATTTCCAGTTCTACACCTTCCCCTTGACTGGTGAGTCCAGTCTTTGATGCAAGATGAGACAAAGTGGCAGTAGAGAGACATATGAAGTAAGGTATCTCCTAGAATTGTAAGCCTCATTCTAGCGTTGTGAGTCAGAATCAACAAAACAAGTAGTACCAAAAACATGAACCAAATGAAGTGAACTAAAATAAAGGAAAGAACTCCAAATGCTATAGAAAAACCTGCAGGTAGAGAGGTTTCCTTGTGGAATATATGTAAGAAATGAGTCCTTGAAGAAAAGATATTGGGCTGATAAGATTCTCAATCCTCTTTGTTTATCCAGCAAAGATTTTTTTATGTATAAACAGGCCTGTATTGCTACTGCTAATCTTCTGTTTTAATGGTCAATATATGGAGCTACACTATTTCTTTAGGAATTCTCAAGGTTCCATAAAGAAATCACCCCTATGTTTGATGGTCTTCAAAACAATCGAACGGAATGGAAATTGCAAGCTGAACTTTATGAGGAGAAGATAAAAGCTATTGAAGAAAAAAAGAAAAAGCAAGAAGAAGAAGAGGTCAAGAAAGGTTAGGCATATAGAAATGTGTGGTTTCAGGCAATCCATTGGTACATACAAACATTTCTGTAATCTTGAGAATTTTTGCTGAGCGTGGAACTTAAAGTACCAAATGTAGTTTTAATTGATATAATTTCATGGTCTGCAGTATTTTCCATCAGTTCTTTGATGCAACAGATTAACCCAGCTACCCCTTAGGGATTGGTTGCAAATAATGACAAAAGATAATGGGCCAAATCCAGATATCCCAGGATTCCTCTAACTGAAGAGCAGAGTTTAACTGGTTTAGATAGAGGACTCTGGAACAATATGGAGCAATAAAGCAGGAAATCAGCCAAAACTCCTTTTCTCTCCTGATCCCAATTAAAAGGATCAAAGGCTGTTCTAGATTCCAGACAATACCTTCAGGGGAGGGAGGGAGGGAGGAATTTGCACTCACACACACACATTCACTTTGGGCTGAATCCATCTGAATGGAAATACAATTGCAGTCCTAATTTGGTATACCTAGTGGGACAGTAGAACAGCAAATTAAAAAAAGAGTGCAGAAAAACCAAAACTACAGAAATCAAGAATACCAAATTTGAATTACTGTAGTTTTATCAAGATCATTTTTTTAAATAAATCATAGCTGAAAAATGTTGACTGTTAACCATTTTGAACCAGCCATCTTTCTAAGATTCAAAAGTTAAAACTCCAAATGAGTCTGGATTTAAGTTTTTGGAACCTAGACTATAAAAATGGTACAGCTATTATGAGAATGGAATTACTGAATGCTATTTCTCTACTATAGTTTTTTTTCAATACTTCGCTTTCTTGCTATATCTTGTACACATTTGAGGCTACAACCTAGATGATCTTGAAAATGCTGTTCTATCTGTAATAATAGCTGTAATTGGATCTGACATTTTTCAGACTGTTAATGACACTCATAAAACGTCCAATGGCCTCAACCAAACCAAGGAGTTTCCATTAGTAGCCCTATTTGTTCACTTTGGAATGGAAAGGATAAATTAGCCACGAGTGAGAAATCATCAATTCACTTACATCTCATTTTGCTATGAGTGGAAAGTGTCTTCCAAAGTGCATTAAATGCATTTCCCTGGTCATGATTTCCAATTATGTTTTCACTTTGCTGATCCATAATTAGTGTTAGATTAGGGTCAATGATTATGCTGCCTTATTGAAGAATAGCAACTGAAAGTTGCATAAACTATTATTTTTGTTTTTCTCCCTTATTTTTGGAGACCACCAGTGTCTGGTCTTGAAGACATTCAATGCCTTTGAAAACAGCAGGCTTGCAAGTTGCCAGAAGGAATTAAGACTTTCAGAGAAGATTACAAACTTGTACATTCTCTCTTTCAATCGTGAAAGAAGTTCCCATAAGTATATATGCCTATTATATTAATAGTGATTAATAAAATGAATGGCTACATGGATAGTTGCCTAACTTCAAAGTTACATAAGCAAGAGGCAAAGTCATTTTATCTAGTGGTATTTAATTTCATAAATTAATTGTGCATTTTGTCCAGAAGTACCATCTTTTGTCTGCCATAAACCTACTCCTAATAGATTCCATGGGCTCACCTGAAATTCATATTTTTTAAAAAAGTTCTCAGATAGCTTTATCTGAATGTTTCTGAATTATGATGGCACTTTTTTCGTAACTGCCTTTACATGATGGATTCTGTTTTTCTATTAACGTTGCTCACCAATTTAGGAAGAATGTAGGTAATGGGGGCTCTTCATTCTCTGCAAATCTACTTTTCTCCTTCACATTCAAAACTAAAACAAATTGGAAATGTTTACATTATAATATTTTTTAATAAATCTTACTAATTTTTCAAAATTAAATATGTTTTCATGGAATGTCTTTAAAAAGCAGATCAGAATACATGGACATCCTGATTTTTCAAAAGCCATTTGAAATATTCTATAAAATATACATAGAATTGTGTGTAAAACCTATAGTTTAATATTATATTCTTCCACTATAACAGTGAAACAGTAAGGCAACTATATATATAAACTAAAAAATAAAAATAAAAATCAGGATCTTTAAATACAGAACAATTCAAAGGGACTCTATGATAATTATCTAGTTCCTATATACCTCTGCATGAAGGGTTATCAAACTGCATCACTAATTGTGAAATATAGAACAATTATGTAACTACCATGGAGTTTGTCACAGGAGTTCAATATGGCCCTGCGTATATCAAATATTATATATCTTTGGGCCACTATGTTATATAACGCATAAAAATATCTCACTGCTCTGGCAGCTTAAGGAAAGATGGACTGGATATGCCAGCTGTTCTCAACCTTTTATCTAGGAGGAAACCTTAAAATAATTTTCAGGTCTCAGGGAACTCTTACATTAAAATTATTATATCTGCAGCTCACAATATGTTAGAGTGATCAGTAAGTTTTAGATACAATAATCCACTTATAATTATCAATGCTGTTTTGAGTAGAGAATGATATTTTTCTGTGGATTTATTTTGGCCAACTTCTTAGCCTACTCTGTTTGGTTCCCCCTTCCCCACAAACCCAAAGTTTTGTTTTGGTTTTTCTGGTTTTTTTAATAGTCTCATAGAACTCCTATCAAAATGGTAGGCTGGTAGCTGAGTTGCAAAATGTAGAAATTCCAACATTCTATGTGCTAGCATTGCATGGGACTCGCCGTTGAATGTTTTTTCCCCCACAATCTTTCGCGGAACACCTGGCAACCTTTCGCAGAACCCCAGTTGAGAAAAGCTGGTATATACCATTCTGATAGCTTCCATATATTCCTTCCTTCAACCACTGAGCAGCAGGTTCCAGACAACTCCTACAGATAATGCCCTGTATATACTGTAGTTATCTAAAGTGCAAAGGTCCATGGGTTCAATTCCTGGTAGAGAGTTTGAACCCCACAGAATAACAACAGGCCACCCACATCTGAAAAGTCCCAAATAGGATGAAACCAGTCATTTAGTGCTTCCTGCTGATCAATGCAATGCACACTCTTTAAAAATAATAAAATACAGCTGATGAACCATTACAGTGGAAAGTTCGGAACAAAAATAAATAAACAAACCATCTCAAAATTGAAGTGAATATTATACTGTTAATTATATTGTAACATTTCAGGAGGCAGGCTATGGATCATGTTTCCATACAGGTGAAAAGGAACAAAAATAACCTACTAACATGGTGATCCACAGTTTTCAAATTTAAGTTTTAATTCTAATGTTGGTAAAGTTAATGTAACTAAATCAGAAAAGAACTATTTATTCTACCATGAAGGAAAAAAAATCGTAACAAATACAACGTGTGGAATCAACTAAAAATAAGAGAAAAACTTGTATTGGTCAACTACCAAAGAGGATTATATTGTCCTATGATTAATTTTATGTTTCAAAATATCCTCTGAGAAATGCTGCATTATGCTTTATACATCTGAGGAATAACTGGTTATAATGAAGGAATGCACAAGAGTGCATTCAATGTTTTCAACAGTGAAAATGTGTTGTTGGGCTTTCAATGATTAGACAGTTGTTCTTCTCATGCTAAAGTCTATACCATAAAGCATTTCAAAAATTAAAATACACATACATCTTAATTTATACTTATTTTCTGTATTTTATTACCAGGAGAAGGTGGAAGTGGAGAAACAGCAGAAGGCAAATCAAAGACATGTAGAATTTTATAATTAAATGCAAGAGCCCCCCAAAAATCAAGAACCACATTTCTGATACAGTCAAGAAATCTATAAGGAGCTCAAGGATTTCTGTTAAATATAATGGAACATAAACTGTTCGATCTTTACTCATTTGCCAGTACTACAAGAAGGAAAATGGAACATTTCCAAAGTGGAACATGTTAAAGAAAGGGATAACGTGAGATTAGTTTGTTAAAAGTGGTTATGGACTTATTTCTTGGTTGCTGCTGTTCTCAATTAATATTGTTTTTATTTAATGTATTAAAAATTGTAAACTTTCAGGAAACTATAATTTTACATGATTTTCAGTTAATTTCATATGATAAACTGTATTGCACAACTTGTAACCCTGTAATTACTAATGCACAGCAATAGGTTTTATATTATGTCTAGTTCCTTCATCTGGAATAATTTACATTCTTACCTTTACCATTACCAATAAAGTTACAGCTCATGTCATTTTGAAAGCTCTGGCTTTAGCATACACTTATGGCTATAAAGAGGCTTATTTCACAAATATATATAAATCCTGTCATTTTTTTTAAACGAGTGCAAGAGTTCTAGTACTGACATTCCTAAGAAACATTCTACTCTTTTCAGTGGAGATGCTGAATCCTGGGATCATGATTTTGAAGATGTCGATCTGTCACACCTCCAGAAATGAATGGAAGCGCTGTTTGCACATGAACTCTACATTCTGCCACTCATGTTCTTTTGCAACATAGGAATCACTATAGCGCATTTTTTCTATTTAATCCTGAGGCCAGCACTTCCCCTATTTAAGGTGGAAGATACAATGACCAGCATCCAAATGGGCAATAAAGAGATCTCCTGCAGTCAACTCCTTGAATAAGCAACAGTGTTCACTCAATGGAAAATCAAAATAAAATCTCACTTAACCCAATCTTAAGTATTTTGTCTAAATCTAGATACCCGGAATGTTGCTCATTGTAACTTATTTTCTAGTTTTAAATCAGGTAAGCAATTTGGGGGTTTTTTCCCTTTTGCCAAAAAAGAAGTTTTGTTTTGGGTGATTTCCAGTTTAGCTTACAGGTGTTGATTTACCCCGGTAAGTGAATTATGTCCATTCTGTGGAACTGTCTCTTTGATAGTAATTGCACATTATTTCCACAGTAAGGATGATTAAAACAGTCCAAATGGGAAGTTTGGAAGTTTGGAAGTTTTTCAATAACAATCTGGCTTTCCCAAAATTAGAAAGAATGGGAAAAAACTGTTAACCTCTATTACCTGGCTTCCCATGAAATCTAAGGCCATGAAATTCAATTTTTTTATGTCTCCATATTGATTAGATTCATCATCCAATCTATACGAATGGATATTTTCCAAGGCAGCTTAAGACAACAGGGCAATGGAGAGATTTTCATTAAGACCTGCTACGTACCAGGTCTCCCAATATAAACAAGGGTGCAATAATGACAATACTATCCAACCACAGTAGTATCTAAGAATGTTTCTTAGGGAATGGTAGTAGTCTACCATTTTGTTTTTCTATCTCGAAATATAGAACATGTCCTTTAGAATGAAAATGGAAATATTTTCTCCTTTCATGAAGGGCAACTAAATGTTTCCTATATCTTTTATAGAGAATGGCCATAGGTAACTAGATTATAGAGTGCTCTATTAATTTTTTGTTGTTGTTGTTCTGTACTTGATTATTTCATTCATTCATTCATTCCTTTATTTGTAAGCTGTCTCATCTAATGAGTCTAGGTGGCTGACATCACTGATTGCTGGGCAAAATATTACTGTATATGGAGATTTTTAAAATGCAGAAAAGATATAAATATTTATTTTTTTCTTTACAAGAAAAATAGAGATACAAGAGAAAATTTGCTTTTCATCATGTACTTTATATCACCAGGTGTGGATTTATTTCAATAACTACATTACAAAATTCTACAAGAAAGTTAGGCATGCAAAACAGACAGATGTTTAACAGGGCTTGGAAAAGCAACTATAGCAAACAGCTCCTCTAAAGCTCATGAGAGACCAGCTACACAGATGTAAACTGACTGCCGCTTATTGGATTTGACTGCCATCTTGCAACATGACAAAGAATTAATCTTTAAATCCATCTTCTTATGTAAAGAAGCCCTCAAAGAAGACTACCTTTCTTTTGAGGACACTCTTGTTTAGCCTTGTTTCACCCTTACTTCTATATACATGATCTGTGAAAAATGCATTTATTTTAAGTAGCTGTTTGAGTGTCAGTCCTTTGAGAAGCTGGGTGAGGAAACAAACTCTGCGACTCTAGTTCATTGCTATAGGATATGATAACAGAATGTCAACAGGCTGCCAGGGTTTCTCTCTGCCCCTTCTTACATCATACAGAATCAAAGCAAAGTTATTCTTAGTCTATTTCTCACACACCCTCCCTTCCCAAGGCTAAAGTGTCATTTACTGCTTCATTTATCAGCTATGAGTTCTTACGTACCTTCACCAACTTTATCTCTGTTTTTCTCTACGCTGAGATGTTTGAACATTCATCCAAGCTGTGCATTATGAAACAAGCATGTTCATGAACAAATAACTTAAAAAACATCAGGAATCTGATTAGATAGCATATTCAACTGTTAGTTTTAAAAGTGATAGTCACATTGAGTACCATGGTATGTTTGCAGATGTGCCATATGTCAATTTCAATTGTAATGAAAGAACTTGATCTTACTTTGCTCAAGATGCAAACACTGGGGCTGTGCAAAGGATTTGAAAGAGGGGCCTCACAATGTGTGTTAGCACAAGCAAAGTACCCTTTGGTCTTTGCCGCAGTCATCAGCTCTGCTTTCCTAGAGATGTCTTCAGTTCGCCATACCTCCTCTGGAAGTCACAGAAGTCACAACTTTGCATGGATTATGCTGCAATGCAGAGAGCAGCTGTAAGATTTCAGGAAAGATGCAGCTGTGTCAAGGAGCTGCAGACAGGGACTATGCGATTGCCCTCGCCTTCCACGAAAGCATCTTTTTGCCTTCAAGACTGAAGTGCTGCCCAGCACTATGAACCATCCCCCTTTAATGGCAAACTCAGGTGGCTGACTGCCAGTACAATGGTACCCAACGCAGAACTGCTGAGAAACCAGAGGAGAAGATTGAAAGAAAAGAAGGAAAATGGCATTGCAAATATGGTGGATACTGGTAGAAAAAGGTATTTACAGAGACAGGATAAACCATTACTAGACAACTGAGGATACTCAGCAGTCTAGGTCAGGGTTCCCCAAAGTGGTCAATATTGACCACCAAGGGTTGATGGGACTATCCATTATTATTACTATTATTGTTGTTGTTATTATACATAGTACAATTAGTGAAAGTAGTATTTACTAAATTATTTTCATGTAATAAATGTTTGGGGGTCAATGAACAATGTGAGACTTCGTGAAGAGGTCGATGAGCTGAACAGTTTGGGGCCTCCTGGTCTTGATTCTTCAAGATTCCTTATCTTGCATGAGTGTAGCTGTACTGAGTCTGACTTTTTGGAAGATCTGCATCTAACCCTAGAACTGTTTTCTCCCCCTCCTTACAGATTAATGAACAGAATTAAAGCAAAACTCAAATGTTCCTGTGTGGCTTTTTTTTTTTCTTTGTCTTTTTGGCTAACATCAGCTTCTCTAAACTGTCTACCTTTTCATCACAGGTAATGCTGAATCTTACCAAACTATGAATAACATCTCATTACAGTTTTTAAACACTGGCATTATAAAACAAAAACAAAAACTACTCCCAAAAGTTTTAATTTAAACTAACAGTTATGGATGGATGTGAAAGAGATACACAGGGATAATTCCTATCTCCTATGCAAGTGAAAACATATTTTTAAAAAATATGTTGAATGAAATGTGAAAACTTGCTTTTTATTTACAGATTTTGATGAATATGAAGAAGTGAGTTGCAGATTTGTAGATCTCATCTCAGAGAAACAAGTCTTTAAAGTACTCATCAAATTCTTCCTCCCTATAAAGGAAATAAATAACTTGAATTATATTAAGAATCAGAGCAAGAATATAGCAATTTTTATTTATATATGCACAGAACGTTTTACAGCAAAAGTTCCACATTTTGTACCAGCAAGGGGGAGCTGACAAAATTCATTTGATTAGGCAACACAAGCTTCTGGAGTTTCTTATTAGATCAGAACGCATTCGCAGTTCTGCAATGCAAACCATTCTTTCTACTTCTAGTAAGGTAAGGCTAAGTAGGAGGTTGGTTATATATTCTCAAGAACTCCTCTTGAGAATAAATAGTGAGGAAGGAGTTTGCTGGCGACTTTTGTTCTTTTGAATTTTCTAGAATTGTGGAAAAGGAAATAAAGGAATCTAATATAGATCAAATTGAGGATAAGGAACTAACGCACCCAAACTTCCAGATGCAATGAATAATTAGATAGAGTGGCCTTAGGGTTCAGTTTTATTTTATACATGCTCAAGCTGAGTGCCTAGTTTCTTTCAAAACTACCGTATTTTCCGACTATAAGACGATACTTTTTTCTAAAATCCTCACCCTAAAAATG